CTTGGGATTCAGACATTTCGACGAGGGACTATTTGGGCCTGTGCTGAACACTTGGTGTTGACGACATTCCCATCTTCCCCTCTTCTTCGTCTAAATCCCATCTTCTTCGTCTGTGTATGGTTGGGACTGGCGCAGTCTTCCTGTGTGAAGCGCCAGACCCCTTCACACCATGGAATGATGATGATGATGTATGTTTGGGGCTGCATTGCAATATTGATTGTTCGGATCACTGGTATCTAAGTCTTCCGCTGTGCTATTTTATACTTTGTATTGAAAGGTCGGTTCTTGTTCTGGTCTGCACCTATACGGTATGCAACACAGTGGCTTAAAGCCACGCCCATAGCCACACTTATCAAACAATTTAAGGATCAACATGCTGCCACAAGAACCTGAAAGAGACTTGATGATCTCAAGCGCAACAAGTGGACGGGCACCATGCATAATTTGCAGTTGTTTGTCAACAAACTTTTTGCTATTCCAGGACTGGAAATGACTGCACAATCATGCTTGGATGTTGTGAAAGGAACGGTTCCCACTACCTACATGCATCGCCTAGACAAAGAGCTCATTTGGTTACACGGACTGGCTTTCCCTCATGCAGGATGTGGTCAGCCTTGAGGCACAAGACCTCATTACCACAACAAGCAGCAAAAAGCCTATTGGCGGCAGGCGGTTCAGAGGCAGCAACCGTTTTGTTGTGCATAACCTGTTAGAGGCCGATGAGGAGGCCTATGCAGACGACCCCATTCTTGGTGACGACCAAGAACAGGGCCCTGACACGGCCTACTCTTCAGTCGATGACTCTGATGTGAATAATGAAGAGGAAAAACTAAATGCCTTTAAAAAGTCTTCCAACGTAAAGGGACCGAACCGGAATTCAGGGAAGTCCAACTTCCCAAGGGAGTCAAAATCCCAGCGAAACCGAAAGATGCAGCCACTAAACCATGGGTTGACCTCCGGATCATTGAAAATGATTGGAGGGTTAGGCTCAAGAAGGGGGTTTGCCAGAAACCAAACCATAAAGTACAAGAATGTTATAGGTTGCAGGGAAACCAGAATCGGGCGTAGAGTTGACTTCAGCATCCTCTACGGCAAGGGAGACTGAATCTAATGCAAATCAGCAGTCCTCCCTTGAAGCCCAATCATCTGCTGATTCCAAAGTTGAAGTGTGTCATGCTTTGTATGTCAATCCTTGGGAGGAGTCTGAGACGGTTGACTTCCACTACCACTTGGAGCATTGGGCTAAGATGAAACATCGGCGTGCCCAAGGGACAAAGAAGTTGATCTTCTTCAAACTTCTCATTAACCACCGATATCTCCGTGTCTTGATTGATTGTGGTGCAACTACTAACTTTATGTCACCACGCGGGATACACAAACTGGGCTTGGGAATGATGCAAGTGGTTTTGCAAACCCTTGTCGAACCCAAGAAGGCAACAAGGAAGTTGTCTCCTCTACACATGCAGTCAAAGGTGTGAGCACTACCTTTGACAAGCACAAAACCGTCGCACACGCTTTAACTTTTATGTCCTTGACAAGTGTCCCTTCGACGCTGTCCTTGGCTGGGATGGCTGCAATCCCAATGCGAATGGACCAAGTGGGAGGAGTCACTTTTCATGGTCAAAGATGCTCAAGGGAACGAGTTTCTCGTCCTCTTGGATGAGAAGCACGAGTCCCAGTGACTTTTCTGAATGCCATGCAGTTCTGCAAGAAATGGCGCAAGCACAAAGAGGATAAACAGTTGCATGTTGCCTTTGTTCGCCCTACTCATGTGCCATCTACTTTTGCGGCTAGTACCAATACTACTTTGTCTAGTGATTCTACTTTTAGCCCTTTTACTACTTTACCTACCCCTAATCTAAATGATTCGACTTCAAATTCGGATGCCTCCATTCACAACCTGCGACCTGACCTAGGTGACCCCTTTGCTGACCCTTCACCCCCACCGGTCCCAACAAACATCCAAAACCTACTTGATCGGTTCCCAAAAGTTCTAGCCGAACCACGTGGAGTTCCCACGCGATCGGTCCGACACACCATCGAGTTGGTCGAAGGTGTTGTTCCTCCAAAGGGCTGCGTATACCGAATGGGATCCGGCAAGTTGGAGGAACTCCGACAACAGATTGATAAAATGATTGACTAGGGTTGGATCAAGCCAAGTGAGTCTGAATTTGGTGCCCCTGTTGTCCCGAAGAAAGGAGGCAAGCTCCGCATGTGTATTGACTATCGCAGTCTAAGCCGCATCATAAGAAAGAACGCCTATCCATTGCCTCGCATAGATGACTTGCTTGATGCTGCAGGTGGGTGCAAGGTCTTCTCCAAGATCGACCTCAAGTTTGGCTATCACCAGATTGAAGTCGATCCTGCGGACCAGCACAAGCCTGCGTTAAAAACACTTGATGGGCTTTACGAGTTTACCGTAATGCCCTTCGGTCTCACGAAAAGCACCGGCCACCTTTCAAAGCCTCATGGACAAGATCCTCCGCGAACAGATTGGTCGGTTCGTGGTGGTATACCTTGATGATATACTGATCTTCACCAAATCCATGGAGGAACACAAAGCACCTTGAGGAAGTGTTCACCATCCTCAAGAAGACGCAACTCCATCTCAACTTAGAGAAATCAGAGTTTGGGAGGGATAGCGTCATCTATCTTGGGCATCGATTGTCTGTTGCAGACCTAGAGTCTGAGGCAACCAAGGTTGAGGTCATACGCAATTGGCCTCAGCCCGCGAACATCCGCGAACTGCACTCTTTCCTTGGTCTCGCGTTGTACCACTGAAAGTTTGTGCCCCATTTCTCTATTGTTGCTTGCCCGTTGTCCCGGTTAACAAGTAAGAACGTTCCTTACGCTTGGGATACCGCATGCAAGGACGCGTTTCAAGCTTTAAAAAAAGCTTTGGTAAGTTACTTTGTACTCCGCATTGCAGATTCCAAACTGACATTCTTAGTTACTACAGATGCAAGCCAGTATGGAATTGGCGCAGTGTTGCGGCAAGATGACGGCGATGGCCTACGGCCGCTCGAATACTTCAGCAAACGCATGCCCAGCAAAAAGGTATCCACTTCCACCTACATGCACGAGCTTTGTGCTTTGCGTATGGCTTCGGACCATTGGAAGCACTATCTTTTGGGGCGCCACTTCAAAGTGTTCTCAGATCATGAGACTCTGAAGTGGATCAAAGAGCAAACTACCCTGTCCCCTACCTTACTTCGTTGGTTCCATGAAATTGACATTTTCGACTTAAGGCATAAAAAGGGTTGATATAATCGAGTTGCTGATGCATTGTCTCGCCACCCTAAGTACATGACTTGCCTTGTGAATTCGTACGACCTCCGAAAGAAACTGAAGGAGGAGCTCGTAGAGCACACAGCCAAGGATATGGACCTTAGTCCCATCCTTGAGCAGCTGCGGGCTGATCCCAACAGTCAGCCTGATTTTCACGAGTATGGAGGACTGGTTTTCCGTCGCTACGGGAACCACAACCGTTTGTGTGTGCCCAACCATGAGTCTCTCAGCACGCACTTTCTGGACTTGGCTCATGATCGGAGTGGACACTTCGGCATGGCAAAGACATACGGAAACCTATTGAGAGAGTTTGATTGGTCTGGCATGAAGGGATCTGCTGAACAGTTTGTGGCTGAATGTCAAGTCTATCAACGAATCAAACCATGTAGGTAGACAAAAGCCAATGGGGCTACTTACACCCCTTCCCATTCTCAATGGTCCTGGGGAGTTTGTCTCTATCGACTTCACCGACATGGGAAAGGCAAGTAAGAACGGCTACTCACAAGTCATGGTGATTGTTGACCGCTTCTCCAAATTTCTTAATCTGATTCCTTTGCCATATCATACTCCAACTGAATTGGTGATCCGTGAGTTCAAACAGAAGTACATTCTGCAGTTCGGAACCCCGAAAACTCTCGTGAGTGATCGGGACCCGCGCTTCATTAGTACTGAATGGAAAGACTTCACGTCTCAACTCCCTGGCCTCAAGCTATGCAAGACATCTGGCCAACAACCCGAAGCCAACGGTTTGGCTGGGGAAATCAACCAGACTGTGTTCCAACTTCTCTGCCCGTTAATCATTCCGGATCAGGAAACGTGGGATGCAAAGTTGTATTCCGCCACGGGATTGTACAACAACTCCATCCACTCTGCCACCGGCATGACACCAAATCGGCTGCATTACGGTTGGCAGATTCGTAATCCACTCTCCTACCGATTCCCTGAGCAGCCAGTTGGTTTAACACCCGGCAGGCCTGGCTTCTTGGCCAAGTACGATCGCTTGCTCAAAGTTGTCATTGCAGCAATGACCAAGCGACAACATGTCATGATTCATCATGCAAACAAAAAGCGCCGACCTCCAAATATTGAGGTGGGAAGTTATATCTCGGTCAAGATATCTAAATTTTCAGAAGAAGAGGGAGTCTCACGTAAACTTTTCCCACTCTATTATGGTCCGTGGGAAGTTCTGGATGTGATTGGCGAAGATATCTTTGGCCCTTCATACGCAGTTGTTGTGCCACCTCATTGGCGCACATATCTCGTGTTTCATGCATCAAAACGGTTTCTCCACCGTGATGCTAAGTTGTTCGATTACCGTGAAGAAATGATTCGTCGTGGAATCAATCGCGGGCATGAGATAAACAGAATTAAACAGCACGTAGGGAAGGGACGCAACAGACTGTACCAGGTTCATTTCATATACCACTCGTTGGATGATCTATACTGGATTTCCAAGCAGGAACTGCTGCGCAGCGCACCGGGCGTTGTTAAAGCCTATGAGCGACAAATAGCCTCTAATGATGCCCCTAAAATCTCTGCCAAGCTCACTTCGACAGAGCATTCTCAAAATCTCTTTGCCTTGTTTGCCTACGATGCGTTGGTCGAGGACTCGGAAATAGTTACTCGCTCGAAGGGACCTCGCTCTTGAGGGGGGCGTAGTGTGATGACCCGACCAAACATGGACTGAAACAGACGGCTGATTTATGAGTTTTGCTCATGGACTGAATGCCTTGCTGAGTTTTCCGCTTGCTACTAAGTCTGTGTGTGTGCACGCTTGCTGGACTGCATGTATGTCTTAGTGCTGGTTGGCTTGAGTGTGTGTGTGGTCCGTAAGGGCACTTGTTCGTTCATTGGGCCCTCAGGGCCGGTACTTACCGTGGTCGTGGCATTGAGGATTGCAGCGGGGGAAAACACTCAAGTGGAGGGAAAGAGGCCCGCAGCACTTGAAGCAGCGGGGAAACACTCAAGTAGCAGGTAAGCCGGTACCACACCCTAAAGCGATAGATGTGCCGGGTACTGGAGGCCGAGCAGAAGAAGACAAAAGTGGCATTTTCAGAGGCCCAATAGTTGTAGGCTAGGTCTAGGCGGATACCAGTTTGAGTCTAGGGCCTGTACGTGCAATATTAGAGTCTGCAATGATGTTACCCTATGAAAGGGAGGAGGTACCGGTTGCTTGGGAGGCCGAGCGGCCTGGAAGTCACCGCCCGAGAGGCAAGCAGGCCGCTATATCTCCAGGCCAAGCGAAGAGCCCAGCCTCATTGTCGGTGTGCAAGTTTGGCGACACACTGGTTGGAGCGTTGGTTGGAGCAGTGCTAGCTTGGAGCAGCGTTGGTGGGGAAGAAGCAAGGACTTGGAGGAGGAAGGGGGAGGAGCACCATAGGTACTTACCTGGCTATGGTGGCAGCCATCTTCATCACCTTCGTGGACCCTGCAGCAAGGAGACCCCAGTTGGGAGAGCTACACCAAGAAGCTGCGAGGCAGAGTCAGGCATGGCGCCCTGAGCTAGAGCAGCCATAGCTGCTTTGCGTTATCCTTTGCACGACAAGGCAAGGCCCAAGTAGTCCGCCATAGCCTCGGCCTATGAGAGTGAAGAGTGAGGAAGGCGGCCATGGCTATGGTGGACCTCAAGTGATACCAACAGTAGAAGAGGGATTCAAACATTGATTCTGGTTCAGCCATTCAACATTATTATTTTTTGTGTGAATAAGAGAGAGGAGGAGATAAGGAGGAAGAGAGAGTTAGGCGAAGAAGAAGAGCTTTGTCATTTGTCTATGCTGGTGTACATCATCTTCTTCTTCTTGTGCACAGCATCTTCTTCTTCTTTCTTACTTCTTCTTCTTCTTCCTTCTCTCTCCTCTCAAGTTCATTCATTTCTTTTTGCAATTGAACGGCATTGTACTATCTGATGAATGTGTATCTCGAAATTGGCCAGGATCATAACAGAATTAAGAAACTTGAGATGAAGAGTTGTATTCGGTCAAGGGGTTGTATAACAACTCCATTCATTCTTCCACTGGCATAACGCCAAACAGGTTGCATTACGGTTGGCAGATCCGTAATCTGCTCTCCTTCTTATTCCTTGAACTGTCTGTCGGTCTGAAACCTGGGAGGCCTGGCTTCAGCGCCAAGTATGATCTCTTGCTCAAGGTTGCGATTGCAGCAATGACCAAACGACAACATGCCATGATCCATCATGCGAATAAGACGCGCACACCTTCGACAATCGAAGTGGGAAGTTAAGTCAGGGTCAAGATGTCAAAATTTTCGGAGGAAGAGGGGATATCACGGAAACTTCTCCCTCTCTATTACGGTCCATTGGAAGTTCTGGATATGATTGGTGATGATAAGTTTGGTCCTTCATATGTAATTGTCGTGCCTCCTCAATTGCGCATGCACCCACTCTTTCACTCGTCAAA